CGGTATTGACAATATTTCTGTATTCACATCATCAATATTATTGTCAATACTTGTAAGTATTGACAATATTTCTTACCGTGTGGGGTTCGCTTAATGCACTTTTGTGCGATTATCAGTATAATGTTTACCGGCTTTTAGACGTTCCTATCTTAGCGCGTAGTCTATGTATAAAAACTGTGATGATGCCTAAAGAAGGTACAATCGATTTCCTGTTTGTTTAATTTTATTCTAAAACTTATCCATTTCGAATTCAGTTCAGTCACCTTCGCAGATCAAAATCGGCTTAGCGAAAGATTTGTTTTAATAATTTAAATTAAATGTTCTTAGCCTAACGACGACAAACAATGTAGATATCATAATATTCTGAGTGGTGCGAAGTGAAATTTTCTTCATGTTGGTAGTGTTGAAATAAACGTTTCATCACCGTCGGTTGGTAGAGAGAAGTGTCAAACGGCTTTTTGTGCAGAGCCGATTCGTGACTTTGTGATTGTTTGTTGACATTGTTCATAGCTGGAGTTTTTACGGAGTGGAATAAAATTCAGAATGAAGTGTTTTGCTCACTTTTGCAATTATAAAGATGGACACGACGAAAAGCGAAGCCTATTCAGGTTTCCCAAGGATTCAGCAGTACGAAAAGACTTCCCTCCAAATCGTGTGAAACTCGAACATGAAAACTCTATAGAACCCCCGTAGAACCTCGCTAGCAGCAACTAAAATATCCACTGAAACCTCTTCTGTCGCGGGAAAAATCTGTTGAAATTTCCTGGAACTTTTGTACTATCATCACAAATCTCCTTAGAACGTTCTCCGAAGTCACAGTCGTTCCTGAGCGAAAAAAAATCGGAGGGGTTTTTTTCAGCGCAGGAGTCTACTTTGGTCCAAAATACGCAATAATACTGTTATTTTTAATTGTTTGAGTCGTTTCGAATCACGTTTTTAATAAGATCAAAAACATTACTGAAAAATATTTATTTTTTATTTTGGACGATAACAATACTTCTATCTATTTCAACGAACCACAATGATAAAAAAGTGGTTCGATTTGACAGCTCGAAAGTGGTTCGATTTTGAGGTCCGTCTTCGCACCACTCAGATAATATTATAACTTTATCATATCAAGAGCAAATTTTCATTACGTCGAATGTAACAAAGGTAAACAAAGTCGAGCTAGCAGTGTCAATCGATTCTCCTGCTATTACACTATATACTGTCCGAATATAGGATCAAATCCCATTTTTAAATTTATTTACCAGTCAAATTGCTTTTTGACGTAATCACCTTCCGATCAAAATAGTTTTCGATGTTACTTAAGTCACCCAATTTCTATGAAGATGCCGTTTGACTTAAGTAACAGCGCTGAGAAACCCGTGAAAAGTGTGCTTTCGTCGTTTCGCTTTCCCATTATTAAAGTGAATAAATCGAACTGTTTGTTGCTAAGATGATTTCGGTGGTCCTAAAATGATGAATGGGCTGCACGTAAGGAGACGTAATTGATAATTCTCCCGAATATCCTGGTAAATACACTTTGACTTAAGTAACAATAGGGGCCACCAAACGACGTATAATAACTTTTTACTCAAAAACCAGTATTTTTTAGCATGAAAGCTAGCGATTTGCATTTGTATGATTAAAACCCTGCTAAATATGTTAAACATTGCTATCACTATGAGATTATATGTGTTTACTTGAAAATAGGAATAACTTTTCGGTCATCAAAACAAAACTTTATTTTTCTCGGATTGGTGCGAATGTTACTTACGACATAATGAAAATTTGCTCTTGATATTATGTGGTTGTGAATTCCACGAGGGTTGAGATATTGCGCCAAAATATCCAAATGAGCGTCATCGTTTTCAACCCAACGTACATGTGGTGATTATATAAAGATGGTGGTTCTTAGCTTGTATAAGTGAGTGGCATCTATTTGTGTACTCTCAACCGTTAAATTTTAAAACCCTTTACTGTATAGTCCTCTCCAGGTGGCTTCGTATTGGTGAGATTTGCTTGTGTTAGTGAGAGGAAATTTTTTGTTAGCTGTGAAAATATACACTCAAAGATAAATTAAATCAAAAAAGCTTAAAAAGTATGCAGATTCCCGCTTCACCTTATTGAGTCCGAGCCATGATTACTTTGGCAGTAGTCATGTATGATTAAATTCGAAATAAACTTTCCAGTAGAAATACTCAGAGGGAGAGATGAGCGGAGAGAATGTTTTGAGCCAAATGAACTGTCAAAATCTGAGCCAATCGATCATTCCCATTAGAAGTTTTCCGATGATTTCTTATTCATATAAATAATAAGCATAAACCAGGTATGAACTCCAAACTTCTGTTAGGAAGGAGACCACCCTTCATCCGTTGCTGTTAGATAGTAAGCCATAGGATACGCCCAGCCCGCGTTGCTGACAATCGTTATATCAAGCATAAATAGAAGCTGTAAGTAGTTTATCTGTCCGTTGTTGCTGTCCATTAGCTAAACATATTATTCAAAACAGTCTTCAGATGTTGGAATTAGGAACGTTATCAACTCGATCCTGTTGCTCCTTTGCGCCTGAAAATGTTTGTTGATCCTAAACATATGCACAATTCATTCTGATGTGTAAAAGGTTATTAATAGTATGTGGAATCGTAGATTAGAATGAAGATGTACCCTTGGCCTAATTCCCACTGTCTGGCCGTTGAATTATGGATAAAATCTGCCTGCAATCATTTTTTTTTTATGAAAGCAAAGAAGCTTTCAGAAGGTGACAGCTCTACCGCAACTACAATAGCCCATTTCAAGAACTCAAGCATTCCGAATCTATTTTCACACATGATCAGCCCTGCTCCAATACATTATCGATGCAAATATAGACCATTGCTAATGTACTGAAACTTTCAATCAAACAGTAGTGCTATACTTGATTGACACGTATTTAGCAAGTTTTGAAATGATCGTCTTGAATTAGATGGATATTTCCTATCGAGGACAGAAACGAAAAGGTAAATAAACTTATCAGAGCGTAGCTACGCGTAGGTTAAAACAGTCGGCACAACATACAACGGAAAGAAATTTGAAAATTTTCACTTAATGCACTTTTAACATCACTTCTGTACTTTCAAATTAACACTTTTTAAAAATGAAATTGTAAATTTATAACATTTTCACTAGAATGAAAACGTCGCAGCCATTCTTTTTGAATATTATTATATAATCAAACAATATTAAAATTGAATTAAAAATTATTAAAATCGACTCAAAAATGATTAAAATTCATTCAAAAAAGATAATTTTCAATCTAATCAACCATGATTAAGCTGGGTTTAATATCAGATAGATATTTTTTAGAAAGAGAGCATTAATTTTTAATCATTTGTTATGATTAAACTGAGTTTAATGTCAAATTGATTTAATTTCAAGCAAAATGGGAATAGTTTAATTTATCAGTGTACAACAAAACGAAATCCAAACACTACGCTTGCACGGTAAGAACTAAATATGAATAAAAGTGGCTTTACTCATTAACTAGTAAATTATTTTACCAATAATGAGTTGCTGCCAACAGTAGCTAACAGTTACTACTTAATAGGTATAACAAATTACTCATTAATTAGTAGTGCCACTTTGATTGAAGATGGGTTAACTTTTACTCATAAATGGGTGTTTGATTCTTACCTTGTACATGACAGTATACGCTAGTGTGTTTGTTTTAAGTGATATTATAATAGTGTAGTGTTCGTGAGATCCGGCTTGGAGAACTAAATTAATTTTGCTTTTCAAACAGAGTGATGGGGGGAATGTCTGCTTCGACAATACCTCAACCTATTATCGTCAGGGGGGAACAAAGTCCTAGAGCACTCAAATTTGGCCTATAGATGCTCTGAAACACAATGTATCCACATGCCAAAATTGAGCTCCAAAGGTCTTTGTTTAACTCCCGACCGATAATAGAGTAAGGTATTGCCGAAGCCGTCATTTATCCTATATCGTCGGTTTCATGCAATACTGGCACAACTCAAAATCTGTGAATTTTCACAATCAACGTTTGAAAATTTGGGTTCAAAAAACCGAACTAAATCAACTGTCAAATATCTGATCAACACATAAATAGCTAACTAATTTAACTGGTTATAATTTGAGGTGCTCTTTTGTCAAAGGACAACAAAAATGCATCTTTGAATGAGCAACAAGGCACACCTCAAAGCGTGCCCCTGTGGTGCTTCTTCATTTTTGGCATTTTTGAAAAAAGTAGCCAACGCAGATGTCTTCTTAGAAATACATTTTTGTGGGATGAAACTTTACACTATTTGCCACCATAATTTCCGATATCTCCTGCACTTGATGAACATAGAAAATTTCAAATAACACTCTTTTCTTTAAAACATGATTTGTGGCCCTGAAAAGGGCCGTTTTTGTTCAAATACATACGATCTCGGAGCCATCGTTAAATTAAGCACGTTCACCACGGATACGACGGGCTAGCTGGATGTCCTTTGGCATGATCGTAACACGCTTGGCGTGGATGGCGCACAGGTTGGTATCCTCGAACAGACCGACCAGGTAGGCTTCGCTGGCTTCCTGCAGGGCCATGACGGCCGAGCTCTGGAAGCGCAGATCGGTCTTGAAGTCCTGAGCGATTTCACGGACCAGACGTTGGAAAGGCAACTTGCGGATCAGCAGTTCGGTTGATTTCTGGTAGCGGCGGATCTCACGCAGGGCGACGGTTCCTGGCCGGTAGCGATGAGGTTTCTTCACTCCTCCGGTTGCTGGAGCGCTCTTGCGAGCAGCCTTGGTGGCCAGCTGCTTGCGAGGAGCCTTTCCTCCGGTGGACTTACGAGCGGTTTGCTTCGTGCGAGCCATTATTGTGCTGGTGATGTGTGAAAGTCGAACAAGACACAGTCTATGAGCGGTCGGCCGAGCAGACGGTTGCTTTTATAGTGAGCTCCTGCCTGTGTATAGTCAATTAATCGACAATACAGAGGTAATATGTAAATGAGTTCCCAATAATCCTACAAGAGCCTGGAAAGTATATAACGGCCAGTGAGCTGGTCCAGAGGGTATACGTTTCGTTCCATCCGTTCAGAACAGTTCAATCTATCAAGCTACAATGACCGGTCGCGGCAAAGGAGGCAAAGGTCTTGGAAAAGGAGGCGCCAAGCGTCACCGGAAGGTTCTTCGTGATAACATCCAAGGTATCACCAAGCCCGCCATCCGTCGTCTGGCTCGCCGTGGTGGTGTGAAGCGTATTTCCGGGCTGATTTACGAGGAAACCCGAGGTGTGCTGAAGGTGTTTCTGGAAAACGTAATCCGTGATGCCGTCACCTATACTGAACACGCCAAGCGCAAGACCGTCACGGCCATGGACGTCGTCTATGCTCTGAAGCGACAGGGACGCACTCTGTACGGTTTCGGAGGTTAAATCAACATCATCAACTTAGGCAACAAAAAACGGCCCTTTTCAGGGCCACCAATCATTTCAGGAAAGAGTTCATGAAGGAAAATTCTTATGTCTTATTTTGAATCTTTGACCTCGAGCAGTCTGTCCATCAAATTTTCAAATTTTTAATAAGTGTTGGTGTAGTTGTGTGTATATCTTTGATAGACTTCTTGCATCTCAGTATCTTGCATCAGGAATTAGTTATTTTGACGTAGAACTACGTCTTTGTCGACTATACTGGGGTGCAAATCGAAAAATATGTGTGGTGAAGGAGTGTTAGGTTTTGAACGCTTGTAACTTTGTCATTTATTGATGAAATTAAAATCCAAATACGCCAATCGATAGGATATTACATTACGAACCTGCTAAAGTAAATATATTTCCAATTTTTTCTGTAATTAAACTTTTGAAAATGTACAAATGATAATTTTGTCACTGTTTTCATGAAATAAGCCTTTTTTTTCCCAAACCCAGCTATCATAAACGAATATCACTTGGTTTTTTAAACGGGATTTAACTAAGGTGAATTTTCACAACTGTCATCTTCTGTAAAATTACAGGAGAAATACATCGACGACTGTTTTTTGCCAACTGAAAGATTGCATCCGGTTGTGTTGTGATAGCCAGAATCCATCGCCATTGCTGAATAAGAAATAATAAAGAATTTCTACCTGGAGACACTTATGTATTTCAGTTTGTATGGGTAAGCCTAAAACTGTGAACGTATGGCATATGTCATTTCAGGCAGACATAATGATAGGTAGCGACTAGATACATGGGGTAGGGGCCAGATGGCCTAGGGGTAGCGAAAGCGTTTTCCGTTTTACGTTTTGAGCTCTCCTAGCAGAATCTCACGAACACTAATTCAGCGGGTACATTCATATGATTTTCAAAGTTCTCACAGCAATACATATAGCGAATTTGTTTATTATTCAGTTCCAACCTGGATCGGGTATCAATATTGGGTCTACTTGTTTTCTTGCAAACGTCAGCTTGATCGTTTGTTTTTAAAACCTAGCTCAGGTTGAGGTTCGCACTGACAAAAAGTTCGGTTTCGCACTGGGTTGGAACTGGTTCCAACCCCGATAATAAACAAATTCGCTAATAATTTTTATACAATACAGCTGGAGAAGGCTATAGCCTTCATAGCCTACATCAAACGACAAAGATCGCGGACTGACCTACACACTCCTGATTGATACTAAAGCCCTACAGTAAAAGTATGGACGTCTGTCAAAAGTTGTTCCAATCGAACCGTCAAAATGCACCGCTTTGCTCGATTGGAATAGCTTTTTTTTCAGTTTTGTGGTGACAGTCGTCCATACTTTTACTGTAGGGCTTTAATTGATACCGGTGCTGTTGCCAGCGTTGCCAGATGGTTTTTCATGATATAAACTTTAATAAAAATATCGGTATTTATCGGTATAAAGTAAAAAGCAGGCTTTTGCATAAAATTTAGATTTAGACCACCAACAAGGTGAATTTATCTATTTTTGAAAATGTTATAGAAAGACACAAAAATTGTTTACTTTTCGTCCAGCAAAGGGCATTAGCTAAAGCTGGGTTTAGATGATTCAATTCAGTGTTCAACTCACTTGTACCTCTATGCTTGAACCTTGAAATGAACGTCCATAAAACTGATCGATGTCGGACTTCCTCTATACGATGTCAACTTAATTGAAGGCCTATTACCAGATCACCTGAACAAACTCGGTTAACAAAATGAAAGCAGTAATATTAAAGTTTGCTTATCGTATCGTAATGAAAACTTATTTTGGTTTCAATTTTCGCGGCATCAGTCTGATATCATATATTGCTTTCAATATGCAGCCAAGAGTTTTTTTTAAGAAAGTAACAAAACTTCAAGTTGTTAGCTAAAAATAAATAAATACATCAATGATTTTTACATGAATGAATCAATCATACGTTTGATACGATACTTTAGTTCAAAAGCTGCAATACAAAGTTTATCAGATTGCATGGTATGAATATTTACACGTTTCTCAAAAAGAAAAGAAGCACTCCTAGGGAATCTATTTTTCCTGTCTACCTGCTTGTGCCGAAGGGAACCCAACTACGTTTCAATGTGTTTTGTCGAAAATAAAATCCGTATGCCGAGTTTGGAATCAAGAAGCGGTGATGTATTTTAGATAATATAAACAATTTGTGACTATTTATCTAATCAAACGTTACACGTCGAATAAATTTATGAGTTATGTTCAGTAGATTCATTGCATTTTGTGTATAAATCCGCTCAAAATAGAGAAGTAAAACACGGGTTGTGCTTAGTATGACGGAGGTTAGATATTTACTACATCATGAATTCTGACAGATAGGTGAACTTTAACCGATGCGTCTTTCATTTTAAAGCATTTCTATAATAAAGTAGTATAACAATACCAGTTAAAGGTGTTTCAGCTATCGGTCGTTGTATATGCATTACAGTTTACAATAAAAGAAGCAAAAACCCATCCCTTTTAGAAAGCACATTGACACTCTATGCCAGCAATGACAAGAAAGGTCCATCCCGAGAAATAAGAAAACGCCACAGGTCAAATAAAATAATCAATTAAATTATTAGTAGGGCTGACTTACTTGTTTCTCATCTTGTTTACTCTTTCAAAGTTGTTTCTTATTTGTTTTTTATTTGATACATACGGTAAGGTACTGTACAACATTATTCTGAAAAATATTTCATGAATTAGTTTGTTATCTTGGTATGAAATAATTAATATTTACATTTGTTGTTGTACATGTCGCTATTAAAATTCTTCTTCACACTTCCGGTTAGCTATAATTTTCCATGAACGTCAATATGAGCTTTGACGTAGTCTTTAGTTGCAAGTAATCCTTGCATTACATCAGCAGAGAGGCGATTTCTCAATTTGGTTTTGTTCAGATTATACTGGGAGAACAAACGTTCTACGCTAGCTGATGAATGAGGAAGTACTAATAATTCCGCGATGAACTTTCTCAAATGCGGGAACGCAAACTCTCCACCCGCTCGCTGAGCAGAGAGAACCTTCGACCAAAATGTACTGCTACTTCTTCGTTCCTCCTCCGTGTAATTTTTAAAATCAACATTCCGAATTTCTCGGAATTCCGAGTCCATTTCCTGGATGGTTTCACCGGTTACTAAATTTGGGAACACCTTAATTAGTGGCAAAATAGACTCATGGGCCCGATCGACCACATTTTTGGGGTCAATAATAGACATGTTAACAAGCACTGGCTCTTCAAGATTGATGCGGATCTGGATTTGGTTCACAAGCGAAATATAGAAGTTCATTATGTTTGTTAAGAACTGTGTTGCATCATTGCGTTGGATTAGGTTGTTCGTTTGTAGCTCCTCAAGGTGCGCTTTTGCTGCTGTACCGATGTAAATGTTTCCAAGTTCCTTGTAGTTTCTTTGCTCTAACAATTCTTTTCCAAGATCTTTGCATGACAGCATGTAATTAACATTCAAGAAATTATCCAGAATGGATCGGTATAGCTGGGAAACTTCAGTATGAAGCCTGCAGAGTTCGGGTGTTTCAGATTGAAACAATCTGTTTAACTTGTTAATGGCAGGCAGAATATAGCTCAGGAAGAGAAGATACATTTTCGTGAGCGGATTTAACAGTACCTTTAGGATGGATCCCTGCTTCTCACGGGTTGACTTATCGGTACGATCGTCGATAAAATTGAAATACATCAAAAGAACATCGTACCGATCTAACATTCGCAGAACTACTGCTTCCAGCGAGAGCCAACGTGTTGCTGAGGGATGGAGCATTTTCAACGGCTGCAGTTTCGAACAGAGTGCGGCTGCAGAGTGCGAACGAGTGGCAGATGCATTTCATAAGGAAAATTCCAGGACATTCTTTACGAAATAAAGCTCCAAATGACTGGTGCTGACCCATCATGACATTGGCACCATCTGTACCAAGTCCTATCATATTGCCTTTGTATTGCACAGCATCCGCTTCAAACTGTGAAGTTATGAGCTGGTATAGTGCAGTGGCACTAGCTTCCGTGACTGTGATAATTTTGTAAAAATAGTCTCGAATTACAATGTGATGACCATCCCACTTGTACGATCGGACTACCATCGCCAAAGATTTTTGACCAGCAAGATCAGTGGATTCGTCAACCAATAAGCTCCATTTGCTGGTTTTCATCAGGTCAATAAGCTCCTCTCTTTGGCTTTTACCAAATACATTGGTTTGGATGGCAGTAATTTTAGTCCGACCAAGTTTCATATTTTGCGCTGTATTGGAGTCTTTGAAAATACCTTTGGCAACTTTAGCAAAGCTCTCAATCGTACTAATCGGAATGTTGTGCTGTGCTCTCCACGCACAAAGCCGGAGTTCTGATTCGGTAGAGCCATCACGCTGCTACAAAAAACTGGTTATGGCGTCAGTGTTACTGACGATTTTATTTTTTTTGCCGTTCGATATGTGTTTTGTTGTCCTCCCGTGCCTGTCCAAATCTACTAATCCACCCGTGCACTTTATATCATGTTCACAAATTGTGCAATATGCATATAACAATCCTTTCTGACTTTCAGTAATCCATTGCAGCTTTTTTTCCCAGTCCTTTATGTATCGCTGAATTGACTTTTTAGGCTTTTTAATATTGGGTTCGGTTTTCATCACATCTGAATAAAAATTTAGAAGTAAAACATCGTTACATTACTATGTGCACAAAACTATTGAAAAGTTTATAAATTTTTAATCATGTCATATAGAAATTTTTTTTACTAATTTTCTCCCGCAAAGTCAGACCGGGACCAACTTCGTTCTAATTTGGCACAGTTGATGAGGACCACAATACAATACATAGGGGAATTTACGTATTCTCGTCAATCTAAGCAGTGTCCACACTTCTATTAGCATTTTCTCAGCGTCACGCACATATATGACGTGTCTGTTGGTTTACATTCATCTGCTGCTTGCTTCTCTATCCATTTTAATCGACAGAATTCTTCAAAACTGTTTGAAAGCGTTTT